ATTATTATAAGTAAATCTTTATAAAGCTATATCTTCTTTATTAGTCTCTAAGGGGTCCTTATTTTTAAGGTTATAGTTCTTTAGTTATTTTAATATACTTTTTTATAGCGCTATATTATTATTTATACTAACCTAAGTACTTATATTATTAGTATATATAGGGGTGCTTTATAATAGTAAGGTAGCGTCCTAAAGGGCTTAGCGTTTTTCCTTAGCTAAAGTAATATACTTATCTAAGAAGTTATAGTCTTTAGGCTTATAAAGGAATTACTATAGTTATAGTATAAGGTTATTATAAAACCTTATTAGCTATTAGTATTAGGTTTAGTTACTTTATACCTTAGTATATTTAAAGTAAGATTAAGTAAAAGTATAGATATTATACTACTTATTAATCTTATTAGTAATAAAGTAGTTCCTATAGAACTACTTTTTTACCTTAATAGGGGTTAGTTTAAAATAGTATATAAATTACCTTAAGATTACTAGCTAACCTCCTTACTTAAAGATATTTTACTTTACTTTAGTAAGTTAGAATTCCTACTAGTTTTATGCTTATTTATAAAGGTACTAGTTAATTATTAAATAAAATTACTATAAGGATAAAAAATCTTTATAAGTTACCTTAACTACTTAAACCTAAAGCTTTATATTATAGTAATATATTATAAGGTAGTTATAAAAAATAAGGTCTAGTAAGTACCTCTTAGTGTTAGTATTAAGCTAGAAGATTCTTATAGTAAATAGTATCTATAGCTAGGCTAAGAAATAACCTAAGGTAGCTATAGTAGTTACTAGTACTACTACTACTTATATTTAGCTAGTTAGAATATTAAAAAAAGCTACTATAAGCTTTTCTATATTAAATACTAGTAGAAGTAGTATAGCTATAGTTAACTATAGGCTTTTTTACTACTTTTACTAGCTTAGGTTATTTTATAACTAAACTATACTTATTAGGTCTTAATATTCTTATTATTATCTTACTATTAACTTTAACTTTACTAATTAAGTAGCTATAGTTAAGTACTAGCCTCCTTACTAAAGTATTAACTTAAAGGAATTATATTTCTTACTTAACTTTAGGCTAGAGGTAGTAAATATTATATCTACCCTAAAGGTAAGTATATATTTTATTTTTATTAGCCTTAAGTATAGTAACCTATACTATATAAAAATTAGCTTAGTATAGTAAAAAACTATAGTCTAAATAGGCCTACTAGTAAGATAGTATTATAGCTTAGTAAGCCTATAATTTCTTATTTTTTACTTTTTAACTTAGACTATATTATTATAGTAGCTTCTACTTACTTTAAAAATAATAGGTCTAAAAAGATACTTCCCTCTTATTTAGGTGTATTACTTATTATAATATCTTTATTTAGAGGTAGTTATTAAGGAGGCTTTTTTAAGAGGTAAGTAGTATTTACTTAGTTAGGTTCTTTTTTAGTATAACTAGGTTTTTAAATAACTAAAAGCTTTATAAGTTACTATAAGATAGTTAAATATTCTCTACCTTACTATATAGTCTTAATAAGAGTAGTTAGTTAATTCTTATATCTTTAATAATCTTTTTTACTATATAGAGAGTACTTTTAATCTAAAAGGGGTTATTAGCTTAGCTAATATCTAACTAAAAGCCTTATTACTAGTTATTACTAAAGTAGTATAGTATATCCTTATTAAATTCTATAGTTATAAGGGATTATATATTATTATAAAGGCTTTAAGATAGCTACTAAGTAATCTTATAAGTTAGGTTTTATTAAAGCTATATATAGAATTACTTAAGGTTAGAGATTTATTTAGGTTAAAGTGTTCTTAGTATACTATATCTTTAAGCCTTTTATTCTTATTAAGGTATATATATTTCTTTATTATATAGTAGTAAAAAAAAAACTTAATAAAAATAGTAAAAATAGTAAGAGTAATAAAATAGTATAAATTAAGATAGTTATACTACTACTTATTATAGCCTTCTTAGTAGCTATTATAGTTCTAATAAGATAAAGCTAGGCTATAGTAGTGTTATAAAGTAATATAGTATAAAGGTAAAGCGTAATAGTAAAGTAGTAAAGTAAGATAAATAATAATAAGAAGCTAAATAAATAATATAAGATAAGATAAGTAATAGATAGTAGGTGTATTTATAGTTAACCTTTTTTTTATAAAAGGTTACTTACTAAAGAGATATATACCTAGGGTATATATAACGTATTACGTATATATTAGGTATTTAGTCCTTACTATCTATTTATCTCCTAACTATAGGCACTTACTACCTTATCCTATAATAATTATAGCTTATAAATATATATATTAAAGCTATTTAAAGGGCTTATCTCTTAGTAAGCTAATAAGTAAGATATAGTAATAATATTAACTACTAAAGCTAAGCTACTAGTACTATTATTTACTAAAAAGAAAGTACTTTTTACTAGTAAATTAATTACTATACTAAGTATTTAACTATTAACTTAACTAGAAAATAAATTATTACTTAATAAGTAAGTAGCTACTAAATAGCTACTAAATATTTATATTAGCTATAATAATACCTAGACTATTAGACTTATTACTAAGAAGCTTATTTAATTATAAAGAAGGCTATAGTATATAGATATTTATAACTACTAGCTATACTAAGAAGTAGTAGTAAGTTAAATTACTATTAAATATAAGAAGTCTACTAAATTAATAGCTAATAAATTAATAAAGACGCTTAGTATACTATAATTTACTATATTTATAGCTTAATTAAATATAAGTAATTAATATATATACCTTAAAGTAAATTAATAATAAGAATTAGCTAATAATAAAGTAAAGCTTTACTACTAAATAAAGAAAAAAAAATATATAAGATATTAAAAAATAATTAATAAATAAATAAATAGGCTATATATAAAGGATATTTAGTATAGGCTTTATAATAATTAATTATATTACTAGTACTAAGGAGATATATTAAATATAGTAGAATTATATATAAATTTACTAGTAAATATATAGTTACCTTATAGTAAATTACTAGGGAATAAGTAGTAAAATTACCTTACTTTAATAGTAATTTTACTAATAATATCACTAGGATTAGCCTAGGATTTCCTAACTAAGAAATAGGGGGATTTCCCTGTTCCTACAGGATTTCACAATAAATAGTTACATAACACATAACAGAATCAATCAACCATTACAATCCCTACGATTTAACAAAATCCATCTGAGAAATGACTGGCGCATTTGCGGCCAATTGCCCCACATTGCGCCTGTGCGTATACGGCCAATTCGCCTACCTTGACAATTCCCTCACCATTCGCCGTGGGGCAACCGTGCATTCGCCGGTTAATTCACGTGTACGGAGTATTTCTGCCCACACTTGACAAAATCCATCTGAGAAATGACTGGTGCATTTGCGGCCAATTGCCCCACCTTGTGCCCGGGCGCGCGCGGTCATTTCGCCCACTTTGACAACTGGCGCATTGGCGGCCAATTGCCCTACCTCGGCCCGGGCTCACACTGCCACATTGCCTACTTTGACAGTAGCCGGCGTGCTACATCGGCGTCCTGATTCAGCACAACGGCACTGACTAACACCTCTGGGTAATAGAGTCATCATGGCGCATGCCAAACTATTCAGGCTAGGTGTTTACCAGAACGCATCGCGGTTCTTTATCCGCTACCGTGTCATGTTAGTTTCTGTCTGGAGACTGACATGGCGTCTGACGCGGCTAGGGAGTGTTTGCATGCTGCATGTAAATTCTATATAATAGGCTCCTTATTCGGAAAAGTCGGATACGGGCTAATGACTAAGTCCACAGACTAGATACGTACAATACTCCTGAGTTTGACACACATCCACCATTATGACAGGATCCGGAAAGCACATGCCTGCTGTCGGAGGGCAGCCAGGGGTCAATGACGACTGTCGGTGCCATCTGCCATACTGTGAAGTTGGCCCGGTCCGACACTGCCCCCGCCCCTGACCGTGCCCCGGCCCGTACCGCCTTCTTGAAACAGGGCCGGCTGCTATACCGTATCCTCTAACTTGACTCGAAATCCGCACAGATCACCTTCCGGCCTAGTATGGAAGGCGGTCAGCTAGGTGGACAAGTGAGTCAGTGGGTGATTGGATAGGTAGGTTGACCGCCCTCTATAAGGGGTCTAGCAAGCAATCTGTGCAGATATCAAGTTAAGTCAGAGGATACGGTATCATCACCGAAGCCACCACAGATATCATCCACTCAGAAGCCTCCGTTAGATAATAAAAAGGAAAAGAAAAACAGGGGGAGACCATACTGCTCTGATAATGGTGCAATGTCGGGATCGCTGCAGCTACCGGCGCTGTCAGGTTATCTCTAGTAACCTGCCGCTACTATCCACCGCGAAGTGACGGTTATTACTCAGTCTTTCAACAAGGCAGCCCACGATAGTTGCTTTCTCTTCTTCATTCCTCATGATCGAACCGGCACCCCTATTATTCGTCACCTATATTCAGTTTGGACTATTACCTGTAATACTAATAGATACCTTGTGCCTTTGATTTAAAAGTTTGTAAGCGACTTGCAAATGGGCCTTTTTGATGTACTGAATGCTGATTAGCTTATTGATACGGCGGTAGTAAGGGAAAATCGCACTCTTCTTGGTCGTCTAAGTGTCTCTGCCGGGCCCCTTGCATAAGTTCCCTGAGAATCGATATTCCTTGAGATAGGAAGCAAGCCAGATGCTTACAACGACGAAGTCTCCACTTATTTATCCACCTGACCATAATTAAACTTTTACTTCACTTCTCTGCCACTTGATAAGCTCAAAAGAATAGTACCAAACGTGCACTGGCAGTTTACCCACCACCATTATTACACCTTCACCCCTACGTTGGTTAGTTGACATGGCATCGGCAGCGGTCCGATTTGTCGCAAGCACTAAACAACCAACCTTGGGAACTCTGTATCTTCAATGTCGTGTAAAGCCCGGCGCATCGCGAGTGCGTGAAGGGATCGTGGCCGTGACGGATGGAGGGGTGGAGTTATGCGTTGCTGCGCAGGCGCGAGAAGGCGAGGCAAATAGAGCCGTGATCAAACTGCTAAGTGAGGTAAAGTTTCTCTGCCACCTATGCCGCTCTTGACTACCTGCCTCGGATACCGAAAGCACTGTGCTCGACCGGCGCTGACCTAGCTGCAGATTCTAGGACTTCCAAAGTCCGATTTGATCATCTCTCAGGGCTTGAAGTCCAGAGACAAGACCGTGGCTGTTACATGCAGCAATGTCAAGGATCCGGCTGCACTCACCACAAAGATTATAAAACAAATAGAGGAAGCTTTCAAGGGCAGATAGCGATCATAAGTCTGTTGAATGACTAATTCCTCAGCCTCATGGATATGCTGCCCGACGACTCGGCCTTCCTAAGCGACGTCGCGTACGAAGCACCTACTTAATTAAGCTTTAAGTCGTAGACCTGTTAAATATAGCGAAGTTACACGTAAATTAACTAGCAAATACACATGTTGAATCGTAGGGATTATAATAGTGGATTAATTAATTATGTGTTGTGTTACATGTAACTATAGTGAAATCCTGTACGGAGGAGCCCGTCAAAAGCATTATCGCAGAATGCCAAGACCACCCCCATGTCAAGTAGCAAGGGTATTTACAGAGGTGCCTACTAAAAGTCATTACAGCTAACATTACTACTATTTTATACCCCTAAGTTAAGCAATAGATTTAAGGTATTTAAGCTGTATTTAAGCTAGATTTAAGGCTTTTAATAGCTTTTATTTACTATATTTAACCTCTAATTAGTATCTACTAGCCTGCTAGCCCTCCTTATATTTATTACTACTGTTAAGGGCGATAATAGCCTTAATATAGGTAAGGATACGCTCTATCTAAGCCTAGATTTTCTCTTAGGGTAGTTCTTACTAGCACTTTTCTTAGGCCTTTATAGTAGTAGCCTAGTTAACTAGTGCGCCTTTCTTTATTATAAATTACTTTATCTAAGGCTAGTAAGGCTTAATAGAGTTAAGGTTAGGGCTATTACTATACTAAAGTAGCTTCTTAATATTATAAATAGCGTATATATAGTAAATATAGTAGTAATTATAAGAAGGTGCTTTATCCTCTTAAACAAGAGTGCTAGGCAGGCACTTATTAGTAATAAAAAGGAAGAGCTTAGGTAAAAGAATCTCCTTCTAATAATAGTACTAGTTAATTCCTCTTTTACCTTAGTAGATTAACTTACTAGTATAAGCGTTCTAGTAGAAAGTTAGTTTATAGCCTAGGATCTACTAAAGCTATAACTAGGCTATCCTATTCTCTATTTCCTATTTAAGGCGCTTTACTAGCTCTAACTTATTATTTAGCTTCTTAACCTTAGTAGCAGCCTCTTATTATATTACAGCAGACTTAGGTGCCTAATAGTAGTAAGGGCCCTTCTTATTATATATAAAGTAGCCTTAAAATATAAACTTAGAATACCTTTTCTATTAAGTATAGATATATAACTTTATATAAGCCTTATAAGACTAGCACTATAAATAGTAGCTACTATAGTAATAAAATAAAATAATAGATATTTTATTAGACTATATAACCTTCTTCTAATTATTAAGAGTCTAATAGTAATAAGCTAGACACTAAAAAAGCCTATCTTACTTTATTTTTTAAGACAGGCTAGGTTTCCTTATAAGTTTAGTTTTTTTAAATCTATATTACTAGAGGATTTAGTAAATAGTTAAGGTAGAGATATCTATATTAAGCTCCCTTTATAGCTTACTAGTAATATTAGTATATGTCTTTTCCTTACTATATTAGTTATAGTAAACCTTTTATATAATAAGGTCTGCTATAAAGGGTGTAGCCTTCTTTAGCTAGCTAGTTTAGGGGGTATTATTAATATACTTAGGGAGTAAAGTAAAGGTAGGTGTAGTTAGATTAAAGCTATACTTCTTTACGTAAGAAAAGGTATAGTTAACTATACGCTTAGGTAGCCTAACTATCTCTGCTGTCTTATTAGCTATTTTTCCTACGTTACAGCTATAAAGGGCAAGAATAACTGCCTGTAAAGTAGGGTTAACATAAGGAGCTATAGTAATAATCTAAAGGTAAAAAAAGTAGTGTTATTATTATTATTATTATTATTATTATTACTCTAACTAAGGCCCTAGTTAAGAAAAAGAAAGGTAATAGATCTAGTTGCTCCTATTGGCTGGATTTAATTAAAGTGGGGCCGGATCCACGGGGGTGGTCTTGGCATTCTGCGATAATGCTTTTGACGGGCTCCTCCGTAAGAACGGGGAAATCTGCTATTTCTTGGTTGGTAAATCCAGGGCCAATCCTGGTCATATGATTGGTGGAACCACCCGTAAAATGGGGCCATTTCACCGCCCATTCCCCGACGATTCGCCGTAGGGCAACCGTGCATTCGCCGGTTAATTCACGTGTATCCGTACTTTCGCCACATTTGACATATAGATGCCCTACAACAAATCATTAGGGAATAGGTAGTAAAATCGCCTTACTTTTAGGGTGATTTTACTAATTAGATAGCTAGGATTAGCCTAGGATTTCCTAACTAAGAAATAGGGGGGTTTCCTTATTCCTATGGGATTTAATGACGTTTCACAACACCATTATGCAGACAGGGGGCCAAGAACACGGAGTTCTCCAAATCTTTCAGTCCACATTACATTGCTACCAAGACTTGTGGACCTAGTGACAAACGCATTGAAAGTCCAGCAATTAACTGTCAAGTCTCTGCCTCATTCCTCTTCAAGATGTTTTCACTATGTGGTATTGCCAGTCAGAGCGTACCTGGAGGATAGGCAGGGGCGAGTAGTATTAAGAAACCAGCTATAGCGGAGGTGTCTGTGAACTTGAAGTGAATTCAATGGAGCAGGTCTTTGACTATGATTCTATATTTTGTTCACTTTTGTACACATTCATTGGAGCTTCAAACGTTAGTCTAGTAAATTAGCCCATAAAACACATGTAAAAAGAATACTATTCTTGAGACTCTAGAGGACGGATACCTCGAGATTTACTTAGATTTTAGAGGATGTCTCTAAATCAACCCAATTTAGATGTACACATAATTACTTTTACTAGATATTTTATTAGGAAAAGAGTGTTTGTGTACGGGGATTGTAAAAAGCTAGCATCTAACACCCGGCGAAGCGTAGACCAATATCTTGGCCTACGGGCATGGCATGATATCTCGCGCAAGGTGTTCCTTGATTTCATCGGGTTAATCTCTTGGAGTGTAGTATCGAAGCTATGGTACCTTTGGTTGCGGTAATGCCGGGTTGCTATTTTGTGACTCGACCTTTGCCATGTTCGCACGACTCAAGGTCCGGCATTGCATTTACACCGAAATTGCTAGAGCCGACAGGTCTCCGAAGTCATGACATGGCATCATACGAGGCAACCTGAAGCTGACCATGAATAAGTTAATGGATTAACGATGGCTGTTTCTAGGTGCCTGAGCGGCGGTTATAAGAAGTGGGTGGCCTACAAGAAGAATGGCTGGCTCCTCAAGCTCGAAGACATCACATTCTACATTATCTCTGCTTTTACTTTTCTTCAGAGTCCCAAACGCAAGCCACTATACGCTGCCTCAAGGAACTCAATATAACAAACATGTCATCTATTACCAAAGGCTTGAGCAAGCTAGCCCGTCCGGTGGCACGGAAACCATGCTTGAATCAGGCTCGTACTCTGGCATCGGTCACGGACTACAATGTCGCCAAATTAGCCGCCACAATGCCCCCCGGCCACAAAGCCACGGTTGCTCAGCTTGAGACCTTCACCTTACCAGACAGGGTCACTGGTAGCAAAGGTGATATCGCTATGGGCAAGGCTCTTGTCGAGGCCTGGCGTCGTGACGGCATCCTCCAGGTCTCGATGAATGACAAGCAGCGATTCATTTTCAACGATGCAACAGCAGCCAGCAAGAAATTCTTTGCCAAGACCCATGAAGAAAAGGCTGCGTGCGTGGACTCCCAAAGCTACTCTGGCTACATCGCTTCCGGTGAAGAGATCACCGACGGCATTGCGGACTACTCGGAAATATTTACCGTCACCAAAGATTTAGACCTCGCTGAGCCCCGTGTTCGTGCGAAGTGGCCATGCCATGGTCCTGTTCCCTGGCCCGACTATGAAATGAAACAGCCCATGACTACCTATATGGATTACCTCGGCGAGAGTGGGGAAAAGTTGCTCCAGCTCACAGAATTGGGCCTAAATGTTCCTTCCGGTTCTCTCACAAACCTCACTGATGACGGGTGGCACCACATGCGCATTCTCAGGTGAGTGGGGTCTCGCACTGCTACTTATTATGTCCCAATAGTTCATAGTAACACAGGAGCAGGTTTCCTCCTACCCATAACACCAACGGCAAAGGCAAAGATGGTCGCGGCATTGGCTCCCACACCGACTACGGATTGTTGGTCATTGCTGCCCAGGACGATGTTGGCGGTAGGTCCAGATTCATCCCTCAATAACACATCGCCTAATTAAAGTGGATAGGTCTTTTCATTCGCCCCCCCTATGATGGCGAGAAATTTGCCAACTGGGAGAAGAGCTCGGCCGGCTTAAAGGAGGAGGATGAGGGCTGGCACTACGTGCCTCCCGTTCCGAATGTTTTCACCGTCTTCCCCGGCGACGTCATGCAATACATCACTAACTCCTACTTGCCCTCCACTCCTCACAAGGTCGGCCTGAACACCCGCGACCGGTTCGCGTTTGCTTACTTCCACGAGCCCAGCTTCCAGGCCGTTGCCAAGCCTTTACCAGGCTACGATGCTGGACAGTCTCCAAGGGAGGGTATTCACTACGGCACACACTTCACAAATATGTTTCTGAGAAATTACCCGGAGAGGGTTACAACCAAGAGGATGAATGCAGAAAACCGCCTTGATCTTTTGCAGAAGGATGAGCTCCGGTCTAAAGGTTCGGACAGAGTTATGCCAAGCGCTAGGAAACAGACCTAGTACGCTTATTGGTAAACGAATTGAGTAGTACGTAGAATATGCATTTCTCAGCGTAGGAAATATAGCATCGTCTAGTTGTGAAAGTACAAAAGATGTCTTCTATACCGGCCCGGAGCACCCTCCCCCTCACTGAAACCAAACTGTTACAAGTCATTAAGAAGTGAGGGATCCCACACAAAACGGTGACGTAGCAATCGAAGATGCTGAAGTGCTTAGGGAAATTAGACTAGTATCAATTCGTCAAGAAACGGTGATTTGTCGAGATTAAGAAGCCTGGGCGCAAATTAGAAAATCAGGTGTTAGTATACGGATACGGCAGGTATGCTCTAGGGAGGTAGGTCACGTAATATTTACGTAATACACTGCTGCCCTAGCAGTATCTTATCCTTGCTTAACGCAAGGGTGCTACTACAAGCCTAGAAGTCTAGGTAAAACAACTATAATAATACTATAATCTAATTTATTACTAAAGTATGGAGTAGTAACCTAGGATATCCCTTAGGTGATAACCAACATTAGGTTATATAGGTTAACCTTTATGTAATCTCCACATGAACGGCTTGCTCTGTGTAATCCTGTCTGGCTTAACGTATGCCGCTGCCACTAACTATTCCAAAAAAGTCATTGGGTTGAAAGCCTTATCTATTGACAAAGGGCGCTCTGTAGCAGAGTGATTAGATATATAGCCATGGCTTGGTGGCTTCGTATTGATGGCAGATGTCGGGTGCCCGGAGCGGGGCCCCAGGGGGGCACCAGAGTGGGACTAGGACCAGATAAACTAGTCACTAAAGGAATAATAAAAAGAGAAAACTCTATAGAAGATAGGGGTTAGAGGAGGTATATTAAAATAATTATTATAATTAAACCCTAACTACGCCTATTACTAACTGTTACGATGTTGACTATCGCCTAGATATCGGCGATATAGATTAACGCCGATTGGTCGGAATAACTACGGCTAATTCGCTGTGGATCCACTAGATCTATAGGGATATTACGCAGTGAATTCGCTGCGTAATCCTACAATAGTTTTCCTTCTTTATATATAATTTAGAACTAGTATTTACCCCTATTATTTATTACTTACCTATTAATATATATAGTTAACTATATTACTATCCTAGTAAAACTAATACTAATTAGTAGTTAACTTTATAGTAACTACTACTATAAGATACTATAAATTAGTAAGGTAACATAAGAAGAGGTAATTCTTTACTATTAATTATTTATAAAAGCCTAGAGTAAGCTTTACTAAAAAATCCTTCTATAAATACCCTTATAATAAGATTACGCTATACGCCTACTATAAGTTAATTTATATTACCTAGTAGTTATATCCCCTTAATATAGTAAGGGTAGTATAAATTTACGTTATTTATATAAGTAAATTAACTTTATTACTATATAAAAAGTCCCCTATCTAACTATAAAAAATACCTTACTTTATGCGCTAACTTACTATTAATTAGTAATTATTTACCTTTTACCTTCTTTTTATTATAAGCCTATAAAGCTTACTAACTTTTTCCTTTTTATATATTTTTCTTATTTTTCTTTAAATTATTTTATATTACTAACGTAATAGCCTTTATTACCTATAAGCTTAACGTAAGCCTTTCCTTTTTTAAGTTTTTATTTAACTATAAGTCTTTATAGTTATAACACAGCCTTCCTAGCAGCTGTTACAGTTCTAACAGGATAAAGCTAGGCTGCAGTAGTGTTATAAAGTGACGCAGTGTAAAGGCAAAGCGTAACAGCAGAGCAGTAAAGCAAGACAAACAATAACAAGGAGCTAAACAAATAACACAGGACAAGATAGGTAACAGATAGTAGGTGTATTTATAGTTAACCCTCCTTCTATAAAGGGTTACTTACTAAAGGGATATATACCTAAGGCACACATAACGTATTACGTGTGTGTTAGGTATCTAGTCCCCGTTATCTATCTGTCTCCTAACTACAGGCACTTGCCACCTTGTCCTGTAATAAGTTACCTATACTACTAGTAGTAAATCCTCTAACAGACGTATATACCCTTTAGTAATAGCTAAGGGAAACGCTTATAACTAAGGGGTAGTTAGGCTAATAGAGGGTAATTATAAGTAAGTAACTAAGATAAGTAACTATAACAAGCTAGTAAGTAGCGCCTATAAGGTAGTTAAAACCTAAGAAAAAAGGGGAAATTACCCTAAATATAAGCTGCTACCTAACGCTACTAAGTAAGTAGAGGTAATCTATAGCGCCTATAAAGTGCCTAAAGGCCTTAAGGAGTATATTATTACTACCTAATAGTAAAAAGACTATATTATAAAGTTACTATAAGACCTTATAGTTAATAAGTAAAAGAACGTACTTACTACTATTACTATAGCTAATATTACTAAGTATAAACGCTATAATTATATATATAAAATCTTTTAAAATAAAGTATAAAATAACTTTAAGGAGTAGTTAATTAATAATTTTAAATAGTTACCTTATAAAGTTACTATAAGGCTATATAACTACCTTACTAGCTATAAAGTATAAGTTAACTAATTAAAGCACTTTATAGTTATATTACGTATTTATAAGGCTATAAAGGATAAGTTACTTACTATATAAGATAAGAAAATAATTATAACTACTATATAATAAGTTAAGGGATTTAAGGAGTAAGTAATAGATTATAATTTCTATAAGACTATTACTAGTATAGTAGTATTAACTACTAAGGTAATTATTATAGTATAAGAAGCTAAATAAGCTACTACCTATAGATTACTAGTAATTACCTAGGTAACCTTATATAATAATCTATTATTTACACCTCCTCTAGCTTTATTACTATAGAAACCCTAGATAACAGTAGAAATCTATAAAGCCTAAGTCTAACTATGTTTTTTACTATTAGTAACACCTACTATAACAGCTATAATAGTAAGTAAGTAAAACAGCCTAACGCTAAGGTATTTAATAGACTTAATAAAGTTTTATATAAATAATTTAGGTTTAATATATAGTAGTAGCCTATATAAAACTATTAACTTAAAGTTACCTTTTTCTTATAACCTTTACGTCTATATAGGTATACTATAAAACTACTATAGCGTAGTAGTAATAGTAATACTAAAAGGAGAGCTATATAAGTACTACACTACCTTATTACTTAGCTAGTCTAATAATTTTAACGTAATAATAGTAAAGCTTAAATAACGCTTTAAAAGTAATAAAGTACACTTTTTACACCTAGCTAAGCTTTACTATACCTCCTTTAATTTAATTACTAGAGAAAATACTAGTAAAAGTAAGCTTAAGGTGCTTAAAGCACTTATTATATAGATTACCTAGCTAGTATAAGTAACTACTTATAACAGCACCCTATATAATAAAGATTATTCCAAGTAATTACTTATTTATTACTATAGTATACTTAAATACTTTATTACTATCCTTAATTACCTATAACCTTTAGTAGCCTTTATATATAATTATATAATAGCGTAGTAAATTTACTTCTTTACTATAATCTATAGTTATAATATATTAATAATAATAATAATAGTTATAGTAATAACTAATATTAGGTTAACTATAATAGCTAGTGTAACTATAAGGTAGACCCCTAGAAATAGTAAGGCTATTTATAAGGCCCTCTATAGTTAGCTAATAGTAAAGTACTACCTAATAGTAATCTATCTAAAAAGTGCTTTATCTATAGTAAATTAGGCTATTAGTTAACTAAGTATACTAAGGAGGAATAATAAGCCTTCTTTATATAGTATAAAAGCACCTACTTTACGTAGGCTTTATAGTTATATTTAGTTACTTTCTTATTAACTATAAAGACACTAAGCTAAGTTATCTTAAAAAAGTAAGTAATGATAGTAAAACTTACCTATTAGATAGTAAAAACTATAAATCTACTACGTTTTTTACTATAACTACATACTTTAGTAAGTAGTTAATTAATAGCCTAGTAACCTATAAGAAGTTATATAACTAAGTAACTTTTTATGCTATTACTTATAAAAATCTATATAAGGAAGTATTACCTAACGTAAATATAAAAAGTAGTAATATCTTTATATTTAATAACTACTACTTTACGTCTACTTTTTAAGGTATTATACCTAATATAGCGTAGCTAAGGTATTTATAGCTAGTTAATAATAGTATTTTACCCTTAAAAAACACCTTAGTAAAGAGATCTTACTAGATACTACTTATACTAGTAAAATAATAAGTTACTTTAGTAGTAGAGATTACTATAAATCCCTTAGGGTAATCTATATACCTATACTAATTAGTAAGCTTGTTTTTTATATAATAATAAGTAATATACTATTTCTTTTTTACCTATAAGATATAGATTACTATAGTGTAAAATTTAATAACCTTACTAACTAGCTTATTAAGAACAAGATTATTATGCCTGTTACCTAAAAATAGGGCTACGTATAGATACTTTTTAAGCTACCTAAGAGCACTATTACAGAGTAACACTTAACTAATAGTAAATTACACTAGATTTACTACAGATTTAGCTACCTATTAGTAAATTAACTTTATAAGCTACTTAAATAAGTAGGTAAATCTACTTCCCTTACTATACTTAAAGAGATTAATAAGTACTACTATTACTACTAACTTAACGTAAAGGCGCCTAGCTACTTTAAATTTATACTATATAATAACTATAAATTTAACTATAAAATTATTATTAATATAATATATATAGATAGTAATAAGCCTATACTTTATATAATTAACTTAGCTACTACGTTTAACGTAGTAAGATTCTTACGTTTAGTTACTATAAAGCACACGTAAGAGGCACTATAAATATATTAGATTAATATATATCTTAGGCTGCCTAATTAGATTACTACTAACACTAGCCTAAATTTTTATATAGCTAAATTTAAACGCGCCGCCTACACGTTATCTATTAAGGTTAATAAAGTGCCTATTAAGGCCTATTAATCTATTAGTAAGGTTAAGTAATACTATACTGC